TCCCTCCAAGCCATATAGAAACATCAGTAGAGAAAAGAGGGGTTGAAATCTTAATACCCGGTTGGATACTTCATGAGACAAATCACATCCCAATCGCTATTAACCACTCATGTCTAACCAAATTGGTTGATTTGTCATCATCCTTTCTTTTTCTCTAGGGTGGAGACATGGGATGACCTTACCTACCACATCTATAGGAAGATGATAGTATCTTTTATCCTTGATGGAAGGAGGTGAAAATACAATTGCCCAACTATGAGCTTGACATATATTATATAATATAATTAATATTAATATCAATAAACAACAATCCAGGAATTTATTATGTGCAGAAATGGTCAAAGCTCCACAGCTATGGGATTCCACTAAAAAGAGTCAAAACCATAGCACCATATGGAGCCCTTGCCCAGTGTATGACCACAACTTCTCGGATCCTCTGAACTTGATGGACTTACCAATAAGAATTCGTTTGCTTTTTTGTAAGTTACTTATTCAAGTAAATGTACATTTATTTGGGTAATTTCTTTTAGGAAATATTTACTCGGTAAAGTGTATTTACCCATATTCTTTTATTTCCTAGGTAAATAAGACAATAGTCATTTTAACCATAAAAATACATTTTTAAAGGAACATTTTTGTCCCATTCAAATATTGGCAACTTTCTTACCAAGTGAGAAAATTATTTATCCACCTACGAGACCCAAAAGGTTTGGGCATCATAAATAATAAGCTGCAAAACCGTAAGTTTGGGCATTGCAAATTTTGGAGAAAAATTGATTATAATGCATATTGGGTCAAACTATCAATTCATATGAAAACTTCTAATTTTTTCAATGTAAAATATCTAATACCCATACTATAAAGAGAAAGACATTATTTTAAATTTTATAAAATAAATAAGAAATGGTGCAACCACTTGTTTAGAGCTCCATTTGCCACATCTCTTGCAAATCTTACCATATTCTTAGAACAAAATCAAATATTATCAAAAATAAATAAAATAAAATGTTTTGAGAATAACATTTTCTACAAATTCGGTATATCAAAATTGCAAGAGAATATTTGTAGAATAGTTGTGTTGAGGATATGACAAATTTAGCAAGCTCAACAATATTTTAGTAGGTGAAGGAAGGTTGGGGCAAAATAGACAAGAATAGATGCATGGTGTAATATTCTTTGTGTGGCGTGAAGATTCAGATCATCCAAGAAGATTTAGCACATATTCGGTTTCCTTTTTGATACTAGATATTATTCTCTCAAAAATTTTATTTGTATTTTATTTTAGAGTAATGTATATATAAAAACCTCCCTTATTTTTTTTTTGACAATCATATAAACCTCTATTTTATTTTGACTGTAACAAAAATCTCCCAGTTTTAGAAAAATATATAGTTATCACCCTTTTCTTATCTTTTTAAATAGAAGATGCTAAACTATTACATTTATTTTATCAGAATACCAGATTTACCCTTTGGTGCAACTGGCGGTGTTGTTTTTTAGTGGTTTGGATTCTAGAGAAGTCAAAAAAGGAAAGGATATTTTAGTAACTTTAATGTATCCTTTACAGAAAAACCTCCCACAGAGAGGTATTTGTACACTTTTTCCAAATATCAAGGGAGTTTTTTTTTTCAAGGTCAAAATGTAGGAGGTTTATATAATTATCACAAAACTCAAGGGAGGTTTTTGTATTTTACCCTTTATTTTATTCTACTATTATAGTATATTTGGATTGTTTACATGGGCTGAATTAGGGTTTGGGACATACTACTTAGTATTTAAACCAGCTCCCACTCTATATAATTAGATTTTTGAATTAAATGGTGATTGGAATTTCTCTTGCTTGGGTGTAGTTATATTTCTCTTTTTCTTTGTTTCAACTTTGTTAGAGTTGCAAATAAAAATTAAACCCTAAATTTACTACTAGAGTAGTTCATACTTCATAGGTCCACCTATCACATGTTGCAGGACTTGGTGGATGTGAATTTTTTGGTTGCAGAGGAAGTCCCACCCTGTTTCTACATAACGAAGTCTGTCTGAAGGTCAGTCCAATGTGATTCTATTTTTTTCTATTCTTTGAGAGTTTCGATGAATGTACGAGTATAAATACAAATACGTATAGTACAAAGGTTTTGAACTCTACATGTTTGTATTTTTCTAAAGTTTTTCTTTTATAGAAAAAATAAATAATCTTTTAAAAATTATAATTTACTTTATTTTTCTGAAATTATTGTTTTTTAATTGAAACAGAAAAAAGTGTGAAAAACCATCTACTTTGGGTAGGTGAGCGTCTGGGTGGGCTGTGAGTCTGTGACCCACTAACAAGAATTTATAAGTGGATCATGGTTAGTGGGCCAATATGGGTGTATTGGTAACCCACAACCAACCCACCCATTTGCCACCCTATTTTACACATGTACCGTTAGAGAAATTAGAGAGAGAAAGAATTCTTAAAGCTAAGGAATTAAAAATTGACAGTCTTGGAAATATATTAATTTTCATTTATGGATCATACAGTTGCCTAGTGTTGAAAATAACAATTAAACCCCAAGTTAAACTTTGATAGTAGCTTAATTTACAGCTTATTTGTCAAAACCAAGAAACCATTCTCTTGGCAGTTCAGCTGCATCAACTTATTCTATTTGGGCAAACCTAACAATATTGCTTGATAACCTAATGATGCCACTTCTACAATATGAGAATAGAGTAGATGGATACTCAACAAAAGGTAGGTATCTATTACTGTATACTTAAAAGGAAAAATTGGACCACATCATATGGCCTGTTTTTGCTTCAAATCCCCATTGTAATTTTTTCCTTTTTTTAGTGATGTGACATGTGCTATGCATAAGTCTATCTTGAATATTCTCAATCCAATTACTAAAAGTATTTCTAAAATCTATTCTCTCATATATATATATATATATAATAAATAGGTAGGTAGGTTTAGATATAGATATAGATATAGATATAAATATACATCTGTCTGATTGTCTATCTATCTATAGGCCAAAGCCAATTCAGACCTAATTAATTAGAAAGCCCAAATCCATACCTGGCGGAGATGGGGAAGGGATACCCCACCCCGCACCTCTCCTATTGCCATTCCTATCATCATTCCCTCTTCTCCTTGGCAGTGATCATTTTAGCTCAGCGTAACCTGAAAATTTCAAGTTTGGGCCATGGTTTTGTGTCCAGGCTTGTCCCAGGCCTACACTAGTCCCTCAAATTTTAGGGCCAAGCTTGGACCCAATACTTAAAGAATGACCCACAAATGTTTATGTATATGTCAATAATATATATAATTCATACACAAATTAATAAAAAATAATTTTATTAACTTAAAGTAAATTTAAAATTTATAAAAATTCATGAAAGTATATGTAACAATAACTAATATACATAAAATATTAATGAAATGAATAATTAACAAATATTGCTAAAATGTAAAAATTCATTTAGATTCCATTTAAAAATAATAAAAGTTTAGTAATTATAAAATAATTTTTATTTTGAAGCACATATAATAATAATAATAATAATAATAATAATAGAAATTTGTCTAAACATACATTACCTAAAAATAATAGTTGGATTGGACTTTGACTAACTATCCCCAAATGGAAATGTCTTAAAGTTCCTTATAATTTTTAATTTCATTTAGCAAAGCCCGTGCATGGGATGGGTTCGTTTGGCTTAGCCTAATTAGCTTGGAAGTTTATAAAATTCATTATACTTTATTTTCTAGGATATAAATTGCTGAAACTTTCGATGAAGATTCTGACTATTGTTGAATCCTTTCCTAAAGCTTGGTAATTGCAATCACCTCCCCTGAACCTTTTGACACAGTTGCAAGTAGATTCCCTTTGTTATAGTCTTCTAATAGAAGGCATGAAAAGAAGAAAAAAAGAACTTAAAGTTGTAGCTTAACCTTTGAATTATTGATATGAAAGACAAATTTGGAAAATAAATTAATTGTAAAATATAGATAGAAAGGGTTTGGGCTAGCCATTCATGTGACGAAAACATTTGGAAAGTAAACATTTTGGTCAAAAGTAGTTACATGGGTATTTTGTACATTTTCATGCATGTTTTTAAAGGATTCAAATAAAAGGGGGTCTACTTGCAACTATGTTAGAAAGTTTAGGGGAGCAGGAGTGGATTTGAGCAAAGCGGAGCCAAATACTTGGCTATTCCAGGTTGGCTTGCCAAAACAATGTTAGGCTCGAGATTGATTCAAGCTGGAGGCTTCAACTCGAATCTGGCTTGGCTCAAAAGCTCAAAAGTTCATGCAATTATTTTTTAATAAGAATTTAAAAAATTATTTATTATTATACATAAAAAATAAAAATATTATAAAAAAATGATATATATTATGTTTATATATATATATATATATTAACAAAATCCATACATTGTTAGAGGGTGGGGTTCTGACTAATATGATTCATAAAACTCTGCGATAGCAAGGTAGAGTTCATGGAAGTTTCTATAAGTGGGAAAAGTTTCAGTAATTGTCAATAAGGTCGAGACTCGAGAGTGGTTTTAAGAGAATTCACATTATATTAATAGGACTCATTTCGTCTGGGTGACAAACTATATGAAAGGGCTCTTTAAAGAGTCTCTCCTCTATTTAATTTGATTCATATGTATCGATTCCACAATAACTTATAAAGATTTTGCCAACAAAAGGGGGTCGTCAATTGGTGCTTCAGTTCCTATTTAATGCATTGCCAAAACAAAAAAAAAAAAAAACCCTATTTAATGCATGATTTATGCAACCAATTCCTATTTATTAATTTCCAAATATACATCAAAGTCCAAAAACATATACCATTAAAGGCATTAGCACGCGGCGAGTGGTGGTAAAGAATCAAAAGTTGACATTCTTAGAAAAGCATTAATTTTCATCTATTTATTATACGGTATAGCCTGATTATTATATAAACGAGCAAGCCCGGTCCATACACCGTCAAGAACACAAGAAAACAAAAGAAAAAGAAATGGGAACTTCAGCCTGTGTGGTTCTACTCTTACTTTCTTTTCTTCTGTTTTCAATTCCAATGGCAACCTCGAATCCAATCAATGAGACGTTCCTCCAATGTCTGTCCTCCAATTCCGACCCCTCCATTCCAATCTCCAAACTCGTCTACAGCCCAAACAATTCCTCCTATTTAGCTATCTACAATTCTTCTATACAGAACCTGAGATTCTTGTCATCCGACACACCGAAGCCTCAGTTTATAATTACACCGTCGGATGCTTCCCATGTCAAAGCAGCTGTTATTTGTTCTAGAGTACATGGACTGCAGATCCGAGTTCGAAGTGGTGGCCATGACTATGAGGGTCTCTCTTATGTATCGAAAATCCCATTCATCATCATTGATGTATCCAATCTCCGTGCAATCAGTATCAATATAAGTGACAACAGTGCATGGGTTCAGGCCGGTGCAACTATAGGTGAAGTTTACTATAGAATTGCAGAGAAAAGCAGAATTCATGGCTTCCCAGCTGGGTTATGTCTAACCCTAGGCGTTGGTGGACACTTCAGTGGAGGTGGGTATGGTACCTTGATGAGAAAGTATGGCCTTGCTGCTGATAACATTATAGATGCTGTTTTGGTCGATGTTAATGGAAGGATTCTTAACAGAGAATCCATGGGAGAAGATCTGTTTTGGGCCATCAGAGGAGGTGGAGGAGCAAGCTTTGGGGTTATCCTCTCATGGAAAATCAGACTGGTTCCTGTACCACCTACTGTGACTGTTTTCAGACTAGTCAGGACCTTAGAAGAAGGTGCAATTGATCTTGTCCACAGGTGGCAAGAAATCGCTAGTAATCTTCATGAGGATCTTTTTGTAAGAGTAATCCTAGGTTTCGACAAAAACAAAACAATGAACCCTTTGTTCATCTCATTGTTCCTTGGTGGTGCGGACAAGCTGCTGCCGCTGATGAATGAGAGCTTCCCCGAGTTGGGTTTGGAGCGTAAAGACTGTATGGAAATGAGTTGGATCGAGTCTATGCTTTATTTTGGAGGCCAGGAAAACAAAAGTCTAGAGGTTTTACTCGACAGGAATATTCAGGACAGAAGAATCTACAAAGCAAAATCTGACTATGTGAAGGAACCCATTCCAAAAAGTGTTTTGGAAAGTGTCTTGATGAAAAGCTTTTACGAAGTGGAGCAACCTGTGATGATCTTAAGTCCCTATGGTGGAAGGATGAGTGAAATTGCAGAGTCTGAAATTCCTTTTCCACATAGAAAAGGGAACCTGTATAAGATTCAGTACCTGGTCTACTGGAAGGAAAGCGGGACTGAAGCATCCATCCAACATATTGGTTGGATGAGAAGGTTGTATAGCTACATGACTCCTTATGTTTCCAAGTCCCCAAGGGAAGCATATCTGAGCTACAGGGATCTGGATTTGGGCAGAAACAATATTGGCAATACAAGCTATGAACAGGCTAGTGTTTGGGGTCTCAAGTATTTCAAGAATAATTTCGAACGACTAGTGCAAGTGAAAACCAAGGTTGATCCAAATAATTTCTTCAGAGATGAGCAAAGCATTCCAGCTACTACATGAAAAAGAAGGAATTCAATGCATTAGCAAAGGTCCTTAACCTGATCCAGTCCATCCTAATTTATACCTTTATTAGAAAGATCCAAATTAAAAGGAATTGACAGATGTAAGAGGAAAGGAGGAATTGACAGATTTAAGAATTATGTTATTGAAGAGAATAATGATGGATTTTATTGGAAACAATTGAGACCGAAAAGATATTTTATTTTGACGTCTTTTTATTTTTTATAATTTAATTTTAAAATAAATAATCACATCAAAATAGAGATAGAGATAGTGGTTGGAATAAAATAGAGATAGAGCCCTGCAATCGGCATTAAAAATCATTGTTAAGATCAATGGTGGTTTCGAGCTTTCCACCGAGAAGAGCTCAACAATGATCTTAGGCTCTTATTGTCACCTTCGGTGATAAGAGCGTAGCTGCGAAGCAAAGCTTAAACTTTTATGTATATTAAATTAATTTTAGTACCGACGGGACGAGTATTAGATGTAAAATTTAGGCTTAACCTCAGACTCTGGCTGGGCTCAGACTTTAAGCCCAACTCTTAGAGTTGGGCCTCGGTTGAGCTAAAACCCAGTCCAACCCAAGCGACTTATACCCCTCCTTCTGGGTAGTCTATAAATATGTTGATGTAGTGCGTAACTAAAGATAGTCTTGAAGGAAGTGCATCCTTTAAAGTATGTTTGGTTTGAACGAAAAAATAGGGAAAGGAAGGAGTAAGTTCAGTGAATGAAAAAATATGTTGATGTAGTGCCTACTTTTCCCTTCCTTTCTTTATCTTTTCCTACAAACCAAACATAGCCTTAGACTTCAGAGTAAAGTTTATTTGCATTCCAGAGGTTCTGCCTCATAGCCATCAGTGCGTAATGGAGTAATTTGTAGAAGAGCTTAGGCGCTGTCAGCCCATCATAAATTTCACTATAAGAAGTGGTGAACCGTCCATGGGGTGTCGGTACCCAAAAAGAAGAGTATCCACAGAATAGGATCCTAGGCCTAGCTATCTGTAAGAGCATTAATAATATAGGAATTTTCCATCCTATGTATTTTGATAGGGGTTATGATACCTTAAAAAAATTTCATTAATGTAACCTCAAAGCATCCAATAATCAAGTCCAAAGTGTCAATGAAACGACTCTTAATTAGGTGGGTGGATTTCGCTGTCCACTAAAGGATTTTGTAATCCTAAATAATGTTTTTCTATATATGCAGAGATAATATATTAAGAATTATTTTATTTTTCAGGTGGTTACGTACACAACGGGGATAGCCCATCCCCCGTCCCTTAACCCCCAACCCAATCCTGGAGGCTGCAGGATTTGATCTAGTCTCTGTTATGATATAGTCAGAAATCCGAGTTCGGATCTATATTTCTGACTTTACAGCACATTACAGCTGTGCATTGGCAACATTTTTCCATAAATAAAAGTTGCACAGCTAAAACATGCTGCGAGGTCGGTATGAGATGCGTTCTACGAGGAACAGATCCAAACTCCGGAAATCCTAGCAATTGAGGGTGAGGGGGTGGCCTGGCCCCTTAGCTCTGCCCTCACAAAGTCACAAGCAGCTATTATTTTGATTTCTTTTTTCTTATACTAACGAGGAACTACTCTCATCCTTAATCTTTTGTTACTTACTCCTAATATGAATCCAATCAACACAGGGGCATAATTAAGCAAATGTCAAGGAAATTTGGGTCCCGTTGGTTTACAAGGAATTGGAATCGAAATCCTCTATAATTAAAATACGAATGGTCTATTATCATAGTCTTTTTGGTTCAAACAGGATGAAAATGAGAATTGAAATCAGCAGGAATAAAATTTCATTCTCAAGAAAGATATAGGAAATGGCCATTCTCTTAAATGGAGGAATACCATGTCAGCAGGAATGGGAATGGAATTCTGATTCCACTCAACCAAACAGTTGGGATCAGAATAGTCCAATCTAACTCTGATTCCAAACCCTATTCCCGCAAACCAAACGGGACCTTAACCTTTGTTGATGGGAGACACAAAACGATATCTTTTTTGTATTATCAATGATAAATTTGCAAATACATTTTCAGTATACAGCAATATATAATAAAGAAAGCACCAAGCATATAGGTCCCCTTCACAATAAATTTGTAGATTATTTCGAGAAACACTATTACAACAAGGGAATTAAAGTACCAAATATAAAAGCATATAGGTCTGTTTGGGTGCGTTAGCCCATCAAGCAACAACCCCAACCTCATTTTTTATAGTTGGAAATCTCCAAGATTCAATTTATTATTGAGAAGGAGAGAATTAAATGTGAGTTTCTAATAAATTCTTAGAATAAAGAATCCAAAATCCAGCTTCATCTATTTATAACAGAGAGATGAACAACAGAAATGACCAAAGCCCATTCATTCAGTGCATGGGCCGGGCTTCCCTCCAATGTATACAGCCCACACAATTCTTCATATTTGTGCTAAAAAGTATGGCCTGCAGATCAGAGTTGACTATGAGGGCCTCTCTTATGTGTCTGAAATCGCAGCCATGTATCTGGGCGAACTTTATTATAGAATAGCTAAGAAGAGTAGGACCCATGGCTTCCCAGCTGGGGCTTGCCGGACTGTAGGTGTTGCCGTGTTGGTGGGTATGGTTTAGTGGTCAGGAAATATGCCCTTATTGCTGCTGACAATGTCATCGGTGCTTTCTTAGCTGATATCAATGGAAGGATCCTCAACAAAGAATTCATGGGAGATCTGTTTTGGGCCACCCGAGGACGTGGAGGAGCATGTTTTGGAATTATCTTCTCATGGGTAATCAAGCTTTGAGCCATCAGTTGAGTGCATGCTGATGAGACAAGTGTAAATTTTGCATTAGGCTGTATTTGGTTGCAATGCAAATAAATTTAAACTGATGCAAAACCATGGCAGTGCAAATGATGTGGGTGTAAATTCTAATCTATTTTTGTTTCAATTTTTAACTTATTTTGTTTGATTGCAGTACAAATAAAGTAAATTAAAACATGAAACAGAATAAAATAAAACCCAAAACAAAATTAAACAAGAATTTACATTTTTTTTACATTTGCATTCCCATGCATTTGTACTAGTGCAAATAATAGTTACAAACGAACATAAGGCTCAGATTGCTTTGCAGTCATTAATTTAGACTAATATAAATGCATAGGAGTGCAAATAGAACTGACAAGGGTGCCATACAAAAGGTAATGCTCATGAGAGAACTAGTGGTGGGTTAATATGGGTCGAATCACCCATAGGGTCAGAGTGGGTCTCTCAAATTTCTTCCTCACTCCGTCGAACAAGATCACCGCTGATAGAGAAGACCGATGGCATAGTAAGCTTCGTCCTCTCCTCCCTTACCTTCTCTTCTCCTGTTCGAATGAACAAGGATTTATGTTGGCTTAGATATTGCCTAGAAATTTCCCCCTTCTCAAACAAAGAATGAATAAAGGTATCTTTACCCCCTCTCAAGCGAAGAACAAACAAATTCTTCTGCCGCTTTGGAATCACACACCACTTGTAACGTAACCCTAGAGTTCCTTCCCAATGACTATTCGAATAATGGTTCTCCCTCTCCAATTTTTCTTGCTTGTGAATAAAGCTCATTGTCTTATTCAAAATTTCTCTACAAGGTTCTCTTTGCAAAGAAAAAGAATTTTTTTTGCCTCCCCACGTTTCTCCTAGACCGGTTCATTGTAAGATTAGACCTGTTTAAATCCAGTTTAATTATAAAATCCGCCAAGTGTATTATTATAGACCACCGCGTTAGTTTCTAAAACCAATGTAGGTGGTCTAAAACCAAGTGTATTATTAAATACCGCCACCTCAGATATCACTCTAGCAGTGGTCATTAAGACCAACCACTCTAAACCGTTGACGCATATATACCATTTTTCTTGTAGTGTCGCGTTGCTTTCATGTTTGTTTGTTACAAGTTTTCCCACTCGTTAATGCTATCAATCCTCCATTTCGAGCAATTTTCGTAGCCTAAAACATAGGGAGGGGAGAGAATGAATAAAATAGTAGCACTTTACATCTCCTTGCTCAAAGGAATCTATTGTACTTTAGGTTGTGTTTGGTTGCAAATTGACGCAAAACTAGTGCACATGATTTAGGTACAAGTTTTGATTTATTTTTGTTTGATATTTTAGTTTACATTGTTTGGTTGCATTAAAAATGAAATAAGATAAGACCAAAAGCAGAATAAAGTAAAATATAAAACAAAATTAAACAAAAATTTGTATTTTTTTCATTTACACTCCCATGTATTTGTACTAGTACAAATAAAATTACACTACAACCAAACACAACCTAAGGCCACTCGTCGATATCTGCTCCATGTTTTACAACTCCCATTTAAGCTAACTTTGGCAATATAAGTTTATGAAGGATTGAGAAGAGAAATGAAATTAGTTCAGTTGTGTTTGCAGGAGTTTAATTAGTTCATGACAGGCTTGGCAGCTTCTGTTTCTAAGCGGTCTTTTTCAGAAGTGGTTGCCGAATCGTGTGCTCTTGAACAGGTTAAAATTGGAGTCAAACCTCCATCCTTCACTCAATTTGGAGAATCAGCTGTTTTCTTTTCTGAGGATGAGATTAATAAGGCAAACCTCCATCCTTCACCCAATATGATTTTTCAGAAAAGTGATGTTTCCTCCTAGCAAAGCCCCAAAAACTTAACGTACTCTTTGAGGGGGGGGGGACTCTGGGAGCCTTGCTGCCATGATCCACTGAGATTCAGCCAGCCTCCTATTCCTGAGATTAAGAATTTACTATTGAGTCGTTCCATCCTACAAAAGGAAGTGGTGATTTCAGTGATCAATTTTACTCATCTACTGTTCAGGTTTCAATGTGAAGATTTTTTGAAGGTTTGGTTGAAAGAAGTGATTTACTTAAAAGGATTTCTCTTTCGTTTTTTTAAATGGACTCCTTTCTTCAAGCCCGATGAGGATCCAGGCCAGTGGTTCTTCCCATTTGGATCAGTTTTCCCAAGCTCCCTATCTATTTGTCTGG